TCACTCGATTTGGTCATGGAAGCACCCAAACTGTTTGTAAAGGATCATACTAGATGATGAAAGGCAGAAAAGGTAGAAATTATTTGCTTTACCTGTCAAACCGAAGCTCATGTTTGTGATTTGCCCATTTTGGCCTTAAATTTGTCTTATATGTGTCGATAAAAAAAATCTAGGCGTGGTTCCGGTCATTCTAATGATGCAGAAGTGTTTGTTTTGAGGTCCTCTAACAAACGCCATCGGAATTTCTCTTGTGCGAGAAAAAAAGTTGAAATTTGTCGAACGGTGTTATAATACTAGATGATTGACGAAAGATTTGGTAATTTTTCATTGAATTTTCAACTATTCAATGTAGCATTGATCTGCTTCGGATATTTTCAAATTGAATTGGTTTACAGCTGGCATTAAAAGAATTGAATTCACTCAATGAGTTTAAACGCATTCATTTGTTTTACGTTTTTTCTGTGATAGCAGCCGTATTCATCATGTGGTGTTCATAACCTCAATTCACAGAGGCTAAAGCTCAAACCTCAATTTCTACCAAGAAATTACAAGAAAAATTATCTCATTTAGATTGATGCACGTGTAATTTTTCACTAGTTGCCAATAAAAACTTGCTTTCTGCTTTTGAAGCCTGGATAAAAGCAGTCATAAGATGAATGCAGACCAGTCTAACAATCAAACAGTAAGTATAAGCTAATTTGTCACTTAAAAAATTGAATAATGCAATTATTTGAAACATTATGTAAGTCTAATTGGATGTTTATATCGTTGTCATTCCAAGGTTCGTCGTGACAAGTTCTGTTGGATTTGTCACAAAAAATATCTGAAAATCTCTTGTGCGAAGTGTTTTCGAATATTCCACGACAAATGTCTGAAATCGGCAGATAATTATCGTTGGGGTAATAAAAGTGAAACAAAACTGGCGAGCTGCACAGTTTGCACGGTTGAAGAAACGTCAAAAAAAGCCTGTGACGACAAGTAAGTGTGAATGAAAATTTGGAACAACTGTTCTAGATGAAATATTACAATTCATTGATTTTAGGGATCGTCTTCTGAAATTGCTCAAGTACATAATGATTGATATTTTGGACAATCCAGACGTAAGTTAAGATCAATTGCTTGCTTCATCAAAAAGACACTTTCATATGGGAATCTATCAAATGAAAAATACTTTTTGGACCGGCCTATTGGCCAAGCTATTGGCATTCTAAATTGAGGTGGATCGATTTTTAAAACTATGAATATAAATATTCATTAAGGCATGTCCCATATATGGTCAATTGTCAAATGGTTGCTCAAAATTGATCCACCCGTATTTAGAATGCCAATTAATTTATTTTTAAATGGAGAATAGATCAATTTCAATCAAATGTATTCAACTGGGAATCGATAATTGATCATTTGATTGCAGTTCCGCGTGTTCAAGGACTTGTCAGCATTGAAGATGGAGGCAAAGTATTGCGATGACGTCGTCAATCCAATCGATTTGGACGAAATTGACCGAAAGATTTGTCGTGAGCTCTACGATAGCTTATATGCATTCCTCGTCGATATTGATTACATTTACCACAATTGTTTCGTTTACTATGGCGGTGAGTACCAATACGGCGAATCAGGCGTACATTTCAAGTTCATTTTCATCGTTATCATCATTTATAAAGACATCAAGGATGATTTCCCATTGTTTGATTCCATGATTGCTTTCTTATGATACTTTAGAAGAATCTTTTCAAAAATTATAAAAAAAAATATCTCCTGATAAACATTAAAAAAGCGGTTAATAAACAAAAAATCACTTAATCGATTTAATGTTCCTTCAAATATTCCAGAACGTCATGAACACACTAAAATCGCCGAAAGTTTGACACTCAAATC